CGAGCCAGCCATTCAGGCTGTCTCAGCAAGGCGGGCGGAGGATTCCCTATATTTTGAAGGAAAGACGTTCTTTGGGAAAAAAACTAAGTTTATTCAATAAATGTTCGACGCTGGTTCCCCAGGTCGTGGTCCGACTTGAGGAGATGTGCAGCGAACAATTAAAATTTAAAAAGTGCTGGAACGATTATATAGTCATAAGGCGTGAGTGCTAATTGGCAGCGTAATCGGTAATTACGACTACTAACTTGTACACTATGGGCTGACGCAAATTGCAGCTGCCAATTAGCGCTCACACCACATGACTATATAATAGTTCCAGCACTTTTTAACTTTTAATTGTTCATTGCGCATCTTCTCAAGTCTGAAAACGACCCGGGGATCCAGCGTCGAAAATTTACTGGATATAGTTACTTTGTTTTAGATAATATTAAGTTCAGCGGAATGTGTTTTGTCTGCTCGCTACATTTTGGAAAGCAGGGGCCGGCTGTCTTTTGTCAAAGCGAGAACTAAATTTATCTATCAGCAATTCAAGTTTGTGACTGGGCTGATCGATTTTTCTACGTTCGCTGCCCGGCCCTCTGCGTGGATTTTGGCAAAGAACGTCCTTCCTTCAAAGTAACTTTCTTGGGAAGTCTGCCTGCCGATTTATACGATATATAATAGGTATAGAAACAACACGCCTCCTACCGACTGATTAGAAAATACGCATCTCGGGAACGCCCTCCACTAAGGATGAGAGAGAAGAATCGGAAAATTGGTAATTAGTCTAATTTTCTCGCTGTCCATCATAACATGCAGGCAAGAGACAATCAAACGCAGACTCAGCGGATGAATTACCTAATCAACCCCACCTTCTGGCTGTCTGAGGATTCATCTCGTTCTCAGGGACGCGAATACAAAAGGGCCATTATGTGATTAGAATTCTTTGCTCTCATGGCGACCGAGATAGTAGAAAAAATCAAAGCACTGCCGATACAAGCGAACATGCGTGTCCCAGGAAGCAATTGAGAAGAAGAAGACTCGATCGCTGGGACATTTACCCTTCGTGAGGCCTCAACCTATTCGCAAATCCGGCTTCTGCACAGATGTCTTG